TCGGCAGCTCGCAGAGCTTCTTGGGGACAACTCCGGCGAGGACGTTGTGCGACAAGTCCAACTGCTAGGCCTTGCTCAGCCCCGCGAAGCTCGTCGGTAGCATGCCCGTTAAGGAGTTCCAGCTCGCGTCGAACACCGTCGCGTTGCCCAGAAGCCCAATCTCGGTCGGCAAGCAGCCGACGAGCCCGTTGTTCGAGAGAACAAGCTCGTTGAGCGTGGCTCCCGTTCTCCCGGTGCTGTTGGGAATGCATCCGCAGAGCTTGTTGTTGGCCAAAACCACGACGGAGGCCGTGGAGTTGCCGAAGTTGACGGGGATGTGCGAGCTGAAGCGGTTGTCGTTCACGAAGATGGCGTCGAGCTCCTTGTCGAAGAGCTCCGGCGGGAGGGCGCCCTCGAAGTCGTTGAACCGGAGGTCGACGTACCTCAACGAAGGGAGACCGACCACCACCATCGGAAAAGGTCCGACGAAGCGGTTGTTGCTGACGTCCAGCTCGTGCAGGTGCACCAGCCGGGAGAAGCTCTTGGGAATGATCCCGCAGAACCGCGGTTGGAGTTGATGTGGAAGAGCGCGGCGTCAGCGAGGAGGCCGAGCTCGACGGGGAGGTGCCCCGCGATGTCGGCGCCGTTCAAGTCGACGCCCGCGACGACGCTAACGGCGGGATCATCGAGCGCATGAGAGCAGAAGACGCCGTTGTAGCCGCACACGTCGGGGCCCACCCAGTTGCCGGTGAAGTTGGAGGGGTCGGAGTACATGGCGCGCCGCCAAGCCTGGAGGGCGATGTAGGCGCGGCGGAGGCGGGGGTTGCTGATGGGGACGTCGACATCGGGGAGGTCGCCGTTCGTGGGCGAGGCCAGGAGCTGGCGGGGCTACGGAGGCGGCTTCAGCATCCGAGAGCGAGTGGGCGAGAGAAGAGAACAGGAGGAGGAGGAGGAGGAGGAGGAAGAGGAGGAGCGACGGAGGGCGGTCGAAGGCCACCATATCGGTGAGACGACCATGGAGAGCCCGAGGGCTGGCGTCAGCGGACCGAAGGCGACTCGTTATAGACGCAGAACGCGGCATGTTACCATCGGTTGGCCTTCTTCGAAGGAGTTGGTTGCGGGAAGAACGCAAACGGTCGTCTTCCCCGCCGCGATGAGTCGTTGACTTCTTATTTTGACCGTCCATGATGCTTTAAATTTCGTGGAAACGGTGATGAAGGCCTACCCCACGCTTCACCTCTTCGTCTCCGAGAAGACTACTCAGCCAAACATGACCTAATCTGTGATTAGCACAGAAAAGGTCTTATGTTGTCTAAGACTTCATGAGCTTGCAGAGTACCAGTCATGGCCTCGTTAAATTAGTTCTCATATATGAAACCCATGCTTCCAAACAAATGAAAGAATAGTTTGCAGTTCACCATAGAATCAACAGTATACAAAATGGAGCAAAAGTATTGTTCTCTTCTCCTTAGTTAACCCTCATCCTTCTCTCTCTAAAGAAGAGAAGGATGAAGGCAAAAAAAGAGGAGAAACGAAGAGAGAAACAAAAGAGTGTTCTACATGTTCTGCTTTATGAGTCCGCAGACGACCATAAGCCCCATGATGAGCAGCCGATCTACGTTGGGTTCCACCACCAACATCAACACATCCTCTCCCAACACCACTCCTCCTTCGGTTCGCTTCCTTCCCACCTGCAGAGTCCAACCGAGCTTGTTAGTCTTTTCCTGTGTGTCTTAATGGATATATATATACATATATGTAGGTAGTTCGAGCTATAGAATGGGTTACCTCTGCCACAGTCCTTCCGGCCAAATCCTTTATCTTGAAGGCCAAATTGTTGCCTAACCCTTCGGTACTGTAGCAGCTCGCTTTCCCCTTGCTACACCCAACCATTACTTCAATCTCCCTGGACTTGCTTCTCCTTAGAATTCCATCGCCCTTCTTCACTCTGAACCAAGGCCGCTTCTCTTCTCTCGCTGAGTCATGGCACCTGTAGCCTTCCCATCTTCCAAACATTCTAAGTTTCTGCAGATAACACTAAACCAGTGAGATCTCGCGCACTCTCTTCCTTATACAATCTATCAGTAGGGTTTGAGCTGTTCTTACCCTTCTAAGTATCTTGCACAGGGTCCGGCCGCCATGATCCATGAGGTAGACCTCGTCACTGCACTTGCAGTCGTAGTTGTCTACCCGGTAAGCCAGTCTGCCGGTGGAGTCATAGACGGTGCATCCATTCCCGTTGAGCACCAGCGACTTCATCCATAAGGTGTAGACTTCTCTTCTTGCGGTCGTCGAAAAGGACGCACTGGAAGAAGAAGAAGAAGAAGAAGAAGAAGAAGAAGAAGAAGGGGAAGCAGAAGGGAGGAGGGGCTCAGGGTGGACTTTGTGCTCCATTTGGTGAGTTGGATCATGATGCTTTCCTAGTCTTCCTTTATATGGATGATAGACCAGAGACACTTAGGTGCAGGAATTGTCTCTCTCACCATGTGTATCATATGGGCTCCTATAATTATCTAAGAAGATGCCACGAACATGAGAGGACGTTTCTCCTTCCTTCCTGCTCTCGTTTTTTCCGTCTTCTTTGGGTCCAATGGACCTCAGATGATGTCATCCACTGCAGACGGGGGCCATGACGTCCTCGCGGTGAAGACGTGCGGTTGAAGGAGGCACACAAGGGGATAGACTCCAAGAGAGCGATTGTTGTGAGATGTGCTTATCTCTTTGCACTCATCTTTGTGCTGTGTTTATATTGACACATGGAACACATTAACTGCTGTTTCTAGTTTATCATCATATGTAGATTAGAACAACCTGATTCCTTCCCATCTCAGTCATTTGATGTTGATGTCCAAAGCTTTTCTATTGGAATGACTTAACAGTGCAAGAAAGATTGGGATCACACAGCTCATCTTTTCGATTAGAGTAGTAGCATGTTGATGAGAGAAGAAAGAGAAGAGTAATGCAAATTATTTCTTGCAACAACAAGACATCCCCCCCCACACACACAAATGCTCATTGTCATTGTCATGCATGCATTCATTTCATTGCTATGCATCTTTTTATGGCATTCTTCGTGATTCAAGAGATAGTGTACTGCCGAAGATTCCATGGCAGACAGGCTCATTATGATAGGGGAGAAATCTCATCAGCAGGACTATAATATTCTCCACACATTTAGCATACTTTTCATTGCACAGAGTTCTTTGTTTCTTCTATAAAACTAGTCAACCACATCATGCTGGTAAAGATTCCATGGAGTCGTATAAGAACAATGTAGAGTTCTCCACGCACGTGAAAGAAGTGCTTCTTCTTCTTCTGTAAAGAGTAGATTAGTTATGGAGATTAATGGCGACGTGAAAAGAGTCGCTTTCTGCAACCAAATGATTGCAATGGAGAAAGGAGATGTGACGGGGGGCAAAAGGACTCGACACATCAGCGTTGGCAGCCGGACACGTGGGGATGCGTCCACGTGGCCCTGTCGAGTGTATCAAACCACAGTCGGAAGTCTTGGCTATATCATCTTTGGCGCACGAAGACTCACCCGTTCGTATACCTGACTTCTGATTGGCTATATGACCCCTTGGATGCCTCCAATCACGAGGCGGAAGCTAAATTCAAATTTTTAGTACTTTAATTTCTCTTCGTAGTCACGGATTCTAATTATAGATCAATTTAGATTTCTAATTTGTATTCTATCTTAGTCTTTGTTAAGTCGGTTTTTGATTGTCCAAATAGAATGTTGATTTAGAGTAGTTATTTTCATAATAAATACTTATTATATGAAAGGTTGTGTGCCTCTTTAGGATTTAGCTGCAGTTATTATGTGTCAAATATAGAATATAATAGCGTCTAGCCCACTTAACATTACGCTAAAATGTCGATTGCATGACAATGATATGCCAACCATGTAACTTTGAAATGTCGACCATGTGACACCGATGTATATGCCATGTAACAATATAGTGTCGATCGATGGAATATCAATTACGAAATATTGAGGCATCAAATACATGTCTATCCTTGTATTCACTGATCGTCACTTCATTATCAGATGTCACTCATGATTATAAGAAGAAGAGCATATTTAGTCCATCCAACGTTGTAACGTTCGTGGCATGTCTAACATGATTGATGTCACTCGTCACTCATGAGGAAGATGATGATGAAGGTATTTTCATCTATCCGATGTTGTCAACGTTGCTCGTCACTTGAAAAAAAAAAGATTAGGATATTTATATTTATTTATAAAGGAATATAAAAGGTACTTAGTATTAGATTATAAATAGTAAAAGAAGATTACTATTTAGAATTATATTTTTACTATTTACAATCCCATCTTAATTTTATATTTATATTTAGATTACCATCCATTTGTAAATTAATATCAATATTCATTTTTCTCCTTTTTTTTTTTTCCTCTTCTTTTTCTTCTTTCTCTTCACATTTTCGAGGGAGTGACACGGTCGGACGATATCAAGGGCAATCTGATCAAACGATGTTGGTAGCGACAAGTAATGCCAATAATAATAAGCAAACAATAAGTGGATCGATGATAAAAACAATGATGAAGAGGTCATAGGGTAGGAAAAAAAAAGAGAGGATAAAATCAATAATACCAAGATTATAAATAATAAATATATTATTTTTAAATTTTAAAAAATTATCAATAACAAGGGGTTGTAGTAAAAAGGATTGTCAATACAAATTTTCATACAAACGGAAGTTAGTACAACGTTTACCGTCCTATAGCATCACGTGCATAATTTCTAAGATTCCGACGGTCGTGATAAACAGCATAACAGTCGCAATTTCGAGTAAATGTCAGCTTCCGGATTGGAAACATGGCGTCTTCGGGACAAGTTTGGGGGTAACTCTACTCGGGCACGGATTGGCTGCAGACATTGGGCCCCAGCCCCACCTATCGGCAAAAACCAATTGTCTCACTCAGTGTGTTGGGCGGGGACGTGAAATCGAGTAGAAATAAGTATTTTCTCTTTCTCTCAAAGAGTTTCTCCTCCCCCCCGAGACTTTCCCCCCGTCCAGAAAAGCTTCCTAGGGTTCTGCTCCCTCTCTCCTTCTCTCTCTCTCTCTCTCTCGCCAATGGAAACCTAGGCCCGTCCATGGAACCGACGCCTCTACGGTTTCCTTCTCCGTCCACGATCGCGTCGCCATGGGCGCTCTAACAAAGAACCGCAAGCGCCGCCTCGCCGGCGACCTCCGCCTCCCCTTCTCGTCGCACCCCGTCTTCGATGTCGCCGCCGGACCCTCCCCACCCTCCAAGAAAGCCAAGATTCCGTCTCCTCCGGCCGACTTCCGCCCTCTCACGCCCCCGGCGCCGGTGGCGGCGCCCCCCGCCGCTGCCCTTCGCCGGTTTCCTCCCGCCGCCCCTCTGCCTCGCCCCGTCCACGCCCCCCAGCGCATCCTCAGGGCTTTCGGCCTCGGGTCCGTTGAGCCGAGCAGATCACGGCTTTCGGAATCATATCTGAAGCGAGAAGGGGGCTCCGAGATGGAAAATCTCGTGGCGCGGTTTCTCAAGGGGAAGAAAGCTGCAACCTTCACTCCGTGGCGGACGGGGAAGAGGGAGGACGCGTTGGTCCGTCCCCCTGGGAGCCAGGGTTCTGAGGATAATGATGGGGCCGACGAACTGTTAGGATTAGATCAGTACAAGAGGTTAGTTAAAAGCGTGCAAGAGGGCAACTCGGTGGTCTCGGACCTGGGGTCTGTCAAGTTAGTGTTTCCTTCCTCGCCATTTGGTTTGTCGGATCGGAAAATTGTGAACCAGAAGCTCGAGGAGACACCCAACTTGCATGTGGCGAATACGAAGGTTGACGATGAAGGTAAGCTTGTGTCAGAATGGACTCCATCGTGGGAGGAGAAAGCTTCAGTCAAAAGGGGTCCTTTGTACAAGGAATTGCACGTGGAATCTGCTAGAAAACATGATTCAAAGTTGAGGGACTTGGAGCTTCAAGTGGAGTTGGCTGAGAAGAAAATATTCTCTTTCCGTTTGGTTCGCCAGGAGCAAGAGAAGAAATTCAAGGAGGTATCTTTTCTATATTTTCTCTGCTTTTGTATAAGTTAGCTTATTAATTTGGTTGTGAACTCTGTCATTGCATTTAGGTGGATTGCAATTAGCATTAAAAAAATTAGGTAAATGGAATTCTTTTTTCAGTTTTCTTTTGGCATTATGATATCATGGAAATTTATGTGAACCGAAAATTCTCATAGGAGATAAAAGACAGTCAAAGAACTTATCATGTAGTAGAAACTATATCGCTAACTTAATGGGAATGTTGAGTGCTGATGCAACCACCCTTGGCCAGGAAGCACTATGTCCATCTATTTGTCAGATCTCATGTCAAATTCCATACCTTTATGTATATATATTATTTTTTCGAGTTATGTAGCTATCGTAATTTTAGACATTTATTATTGTAACTGCAGATACCATGACATAAAGTGTTTATTAAATTGCTTATCAGCTTAGCATCTGTTCCATCTTCATTGCGCTAGTAATTTTGTCAACTGATGTCTCCATCCAATCTTTTCTTTCTATATATTGTATTAAATTCTGTTGGCTTCTTTGGCGGGGATCTGGAGATTGACTAAAGTTGATGAGCAATGAGAACTGCCAAATAACTCTGATTAAAAGAGCATAGGAATGTTACTGTCATGCTGAATGGTGAAGAAGGCGGTAAGATTAGATGGTGGAGGAATGGATAGAGGTGAAGAGACGCTGAAAGGGTAGAATCAGTGATTACTAAGGCCGGCTGGCCATTCAAATTCTCAACTGAGAGTATAGTTGCTGGTAGCTCTTGTCTAGTTAACCTACTCTTTCCTACTCAGATTTGGATTTTGAGCTAGAACATGACTGAGTAGTTCATCTTTTATCTAGATAATAATATTAAAAAATGGTCTTAGTTGTCTTCTGGAATAGCTCATAAAACAATGGAGAAAATACTGCAAAATAACATAAATCAGAAAAAAAATTTAGACCATGACTGATTTAAATCAGTTAGACTCAAGTTGAAACCACACTACTGCTATGCCATGTTACTCTTCCATTGAAGTGAGATAAGATGAATGCACATGAGACGAAGACTGTACATTTTAAAGCTTACTTAATTATGGCTGGAAAACAACAATGTTTAATCTACAATTCAGTCCAATGGCATGATAGTCTTGAACTCTGTTAGAGCGTCATTCGGTAAAAAAAATAAAAAATCTCTATGAAGTGATTACAAGAAATCTTCACTTCAACTACACAGAATTGGCTATATGGATCTCTTGTTACATTTCACTTCCAACTACTCAGCTGCTCAAATCAGTAAAAGGACAATTGTGCTGCTCACTAATTATTTACATAGTATTGTACAGTGATTGTAGAAGTCATTAAGGATTGACTGTACCAATGGACTATGCTTTTAGAAAATATTCGTTTTGGGATGTAACCAATGTAAACAATCAGATCTGTGAGTATGCTACTGAAATATCAGTTTTCTTAATATGCTCTTGTAAAATTTTTGGACAACATTTTCTCTTTCTTTACATGATAATTACAGTCTTAAGATTTCTTCATTTGTTCTTCCAGGTCTTCTGTTGATAATTCTTTTATGTAATTTGTTCTAATAAATTGGTACTCAATTTCTCTGTTGGTTTATGTACTCATTTTGAAAATAATCATGTGCACATTGTAATTAACTATTCTTTTTGTTGTGATCCTAACCATCATCGATTCTTGTAGGATGTGCATGAAGTATTTCTCCCACTCACAGATGAAGAAGAGGAGGATGTTTATCGTTCTTTGAATGGTAGAAATAGGTACAAGTTATAGATAGATATTTCCATGGAATATATCTGCCCCTTCAAAGCTTTAAGATTTATGCAGAGATATTACCTCACTTTAAATGTTGTTCTTTTGGCTGCTGCAGTCGTGAAATCCTAGCCGTACATGAGGCTTCCAACATTCATATAACCAGAGAGGTCTTGCAGTGTTTGAGTTGCAATGCTTGGTTAAATGACGAAGTAATTTTTACTAAAATTGATCTTGTAATTTTGATCGAATATTGTAGTCATTGTTACTAGCTAGTCTTCTAAGGAATGCTACTTTTTTTTTTTTCATGGACATGCCTTTTGCTTCTCATGTAGGTCATAAATTTGTACCTTGAATTGTTGAAGGAGAGAGAGAAAAGAGAACCCAAGAAGTTTTTGAAATGTCATTTCTTCAGCACATTTTTTTATAAAAAGGTTCACAGCTATTCTCTATATATTACTCTCTCAAGACTTTTCTTTTATTTGCTTCAATGTGGATGTGTTGTATTATTTTATGCTGAGAATGCTTCTGTTACTTATTTTCTTTTCTTAAGAGTTTTCTTTACTTGTTCTTTTTATGGTTGTATTCATCATTGCTGTCGATCTAGGTTCATTATTTTGTTGCAAGCCTTTTTGACTTGTGCAATGGGTTGTGGCATAGTGTACCTAAATGTGCTAGTTTCATAAGTTGTAAGGTTAACTTTGTTTTTCCTGTAATTTACGATTTGCATCATTTGACCTATATATAGGAAGCATCGTTCTCTCTATTTATGTTTGAGTTCAGGGTTTAGCACTTCGTAAATGTGGATGTCAATTTTCTCTTTGGACTTGTTTTCCCCAATTTTATTTCTTTTGGACATCTTCATTTAGATTTCATGTAATCACATCTGATTTTACTGCACATGTAAAAGTTAAGTTCTCATCAATATCCACTGCTAACTTGTGTTTCTAGTGTTACTCCTCTTATGTAAAATTTTCCTCGTTCATATTGAAATCTGATCTAATTGCTTATGATCTATTAAGTTTATTTTGCTCTTTAGACTCTTATTGAATTGCAATTTGTTTTCAGGTTTTCAAGGTAGTCATTACATATTCATAAAGATATTGTTGTCTTTAGATCAAGGACTACTATACCGCCTGAAATGGTGGTATGAGCAGTCTGTACTGGTCTGGGCGTGGGTCAATACGTGTGCCACACCCGTTTCTGGTAGTCTAGTTAAAAAAATAATAATAAGAAAAAGTGGTGGGGTCCTATCTAACTCAGCGCTAAAAAAAAGGAAAAAGAAAACAAATTAAGACTCGTGAACACGAGCCCTTTTCTTGATGCTGCTGCCCCTGCTGCTGCCTCAACGCTGTCGCTTTGATGCTGTCACTGCCCTGTTGCCCAAGTACACTGCTGCTGTTTCTCCTCCTACTCTTATTTCTTCTTCTTCCTTCTTCTTTCTTCCTTCATCCTCTATTCCTCCACCGCTCCTTTCTCTTCTTCCTCTTTTTCTTCATCGCTGAAACATCAGTTCACATTGGCATACCGTGTCAGTACATTGGTATTGACTGGTGTGTACTGATCCGACAGATCACCGAAATAGGTCTGGTACCCGAAATGGCGAATCTTGCTTTAGATAATGCATTTTGTATGCATTTTATCATGTTTAGCTTATAATTTATGAGATTTAACTCAGTCTGATGCATGGGTGAAAAATTTTGTGGTTGGAATTTTTTAATTTAATATCTGCGTCTTTTTCAAGTTGTTAAGTAAACAATGTTTTTGTTAAACTAACTTCTCCATTTTCTTTCTGGTATTTGCTGACTGACAAGGTATTCTTCTTTCTGGAGCACTTAGCATTACACCAGTTATATGGAACTATTATATATTTGTTATGGATTTTTCTGGCGCCAAGTCTCAAAATTTATTTATCCACTGTTCTGTAGTTATCTGTAATTGTTGATCCATCAAGTTTTGTGCATTTTCTTTTGTGAACTTCTATTTTTGACCCATTGCATTCGAAACTTTACTTGCTTGTTGTTTCTGTTATCTATGTTTAAACTTAATGATATATTTAGGTTATGATTTTGCCTTCTTTTTCTGTCTTATTGTTCAGTTGATAAACGGAAGAAATGGTTATGATTACAAGGCTGTAAGGAGGTGGACAACACAAAAGAAGCTAGGATACAGCCTTATTGAGTGTGACAAAGTAAAGTGATTATAGCCCTTTCATTTTCTTGTTCATTTCTATCAATTTTATTTACTTAAGCATGTTATTTTCCTATCGTCTTTTTGCAACTTAAATCCAGATATTTGTTCCTATACACAAAGAAGTACACTGGTGTTTAGCTGTTATTGACGTAAAGGAGAAGAAGTTTCTGTATCTTGATTCACTTGGTGGAATAGACACAGCAGTTTTGAAAGTACTGGTATGTTGCAATATACATATTTTTTGAAGGGCAATGTTTTGAATAGATAGGTATCTTGCAATATATGTCTATGAGTTTTGAGGAATTTTATGGTACTGTGATGATCTTTTGACTGTTGTCTCTTATAGCTTTATTTAGTTATAGTCTTTTAGATGGGAACATGAACCCACTTTTTGGAAAATTTCCAATCATCTGACTTGTCACATAGATCATTTTTTTTTGTAGGGTATTTTTCAAGTCTTACTGTGATTAGTTAAGGGTCCAGTGGAATTTCAAGTTATTTTGGAATGTAAATTTTAGTATTTTTTATATTTGTTTTTATTGATATATACTGTGGCTATTTAGTGGGTATTCAATTTAAAGGCCTAGCCTGAGATTAATGAGCATCTTCCTTCTTTTTTTTTTTTTTTGCAAATTAAGCAATGTTCTTAGATGCTTAGGGATTGCAATTTTAAGGGGTTAATGAAAATAAATCACAGGAGAAGCAGGCATGGGGCTTAAGGTGTAGGACTGAGAAATGGGAATTAAGCATGTTAAGTATACAAAGCAGGTTTAATTGTAGAAATTAAGGCTATTATGTTGTTATAGATCTATATTGATTTTCTTGATCTATTGCATAGTGAGCCAACACTAAGCCAAGCTCAATCTGAACTATGATGCACTCAACCAGACCAAATGGCTTGATTCCATGATTTGAAAAATTGACCAATCTTAATTTAGATTAGTTTCCATAATATAGATTTTAAATAGACAAAAAAAAAGGAAGATGCTCATTGATCTCAGGCTTTAGTACAAAGGAAGAATGGAAGACAGAGATAAAAGAAAGACTTACTAGAATGCTGACAGGTTGGCTGTCCAACAAAGGGATGTGATTGGATGGTTTAATTCAAGTTGGATGATTGTCACAATTAATGGTTGAGGAGCAGACTTGAAGATAGGTGGAGAGGCAGAACTTTGAAGTGGACTTCTTTATGAGTCTCATTTTGCTTTTTACAAGGTAGCTGGAAATCCTGGAATTATCCAAAATACTAAAACAAATGTCCAAAAAAAAAATTTTAGGGGCAGACTTGAAGAGGAGAGAGGTGGAGAGGCAGAACATTTTTGAATTTAGTTTTCTATTTCTTCCTAAATAGTTGAGTTTTCTTGACTGGTGGGAATATGGTGCATGTAAGAGATTGTATGTGGAACTTCTGGTGTTGCTCTTTGCCTTACTCTTCAAGTATGATTTGGTAAAAAATTTTGGCAGGATATACTATGGCCTTTTATATGTTGTAAAAATGTCCTTTTGTTTCAGGCGAAATACTTAATGGATGAAGTAGAGGATAAGACTGCAAATCAGGTTGACACACTATCATGGAAGTTGGAAACAGTTGATGACCTACCTTTACAAAAGAATGGGTATTTAGCTTCTCTTGCTTATCGATTTTATTCATCTTAAAAGTGCTTTGCATATTTTCTGCTGCTGAAATGCATGCTTTATTTTGCATGTTCTTTGCCTTGTAGGAAGTTCTATAAAGAGATCTAATTCATTATGAAAGTTTTACTGAACACATTTTATGAATAAAAATTCTCCTTGATTGTTGCAATAAGGCTACACACATTTATCCGTCACTTAGTTATTTTGCCTGTCCTCTCTTGATCTTTACTGTGATTGAACTTCACGTGTAATAGATTAGATTGCCTCTTTTCTTGTTACAAGTTCTTCTGCCTTGGAACAAAGCTTTGTGCATTTCTGGCAGGTATGGATTTCATGCCATGGTGTAGATCCATGCTGGGACTAAGCTGCCATAGTTCCATGTTCCACTGTTCTGGTGATCTGGTTTCATGGGCAAATCACCGAGCACATGCTTGTGCCTAGTGCCAGTATGCATCAGCAAGGTACTGACATGTTGGCACAGCTGTTGGACATCTTTCCTCTTGTATATGTATCGAACTTTGTTTCTCTTTCACCTTTCTTCTGTTTAACTAGGGGTGTTGATAGAGCCATCTAACTCTTAAGCCCTACCCGAATCTTCTTGGATTTGGATCATTGGAGGATCTCACCCAATTACAACCTACATCTCGTTGTATCTCTATTCTGTTGTCTCTCATTGCAACATTGTTCACTTCACAAGGAAGATCTTTTGAAATAATGGTAGAGTTAACTGCTGGTGCCTTGTGTTCACCTTAAGAGTTCTTTTTGTGTTGATGTTCCAACCGCATGCATGTTTCCTTGCTAACAGTTAGTTGCTATATTCCTTTCCATTGTTTGGATCACTTGTATTTCATATCTAGAATAATTTGATGGGTTGTTTCCTTTACAAATATTTGACAAATGGTTACTTCTTTCATTAGATGGGACTGCGGAATGTTCATGCTCAAGTATACAGATTTCTATAGCCGTGGCTTAAGCCTCTGCTTTAGTCAGGTGCTAATTTCTTAAGCTTGTAGTTACTTTTTAGAGCAATTCTCAGATCCCGTCTCTACCTGGGGAGCTGGCAAGTTATATTAAGCTCGCAAATTCTCTTCGCTTATGGGTACTGGGGGTTGTAAGAGATTTGACAAGCGTTTTTCTTTTGTTCTTTTTTAGGATAACATGCCATACTTCAGGAAGAGGACTGCCAAAGAGATTCTTAGACTGAGAGCTGAATGAAGGAAAACATGCCATTGCACAAATCCAAGTTATGGCATGAGATGAAGCCTTCGGAGCAGCTGATGAGCTGTGAATATGAAGTAGACCACCACTAGCGCTGGTCAGGGCTGGAATGCTGGTTGGTACTCAACAGTCTTCTTCTTGGGTGAATGATCTATCTGCAAATCGGCTGCCAATAGACCTGCATATAGAATGACATTTATATTAGACCACAACTTAGATAAAGCAGGCTTACCTGGTCTTCATGAAGGGCTTTAGAAATATAAAATAGAGGAGTGTTTTTTTGTTTTTGTTTTCAGTTCTTTCCTTTTTCCATTTTATTATTATTATATATTGTGTGTGTGTGTGTTGCTGTAATCTTTGATAGCCGGGGCTCGATGTGTTTCGTATAACTTTTCATCTTTGAGAGCTTGTAACAGCCAACTCGACTTGTGTCGACTTTGGCTGTGTCAACTGTTTGTTCGAGTCGTGAGTTGTGTATTCTTGTAGTTTTCAAGGCCTATATAAGGGACCTAAAATTGGTCAACATATGGAATGAACGACAACCACAAAGCATTTGCTTGATACATATTCCAAATGGAGTTCATCTGACCGGAGAACGACATCTGCTTGCCCAGAGACTGGATGTTCACTGGAGGATCTTTTGTACTCCTTTGAGATAAACTACCGAGGTTAACTGCACGTATGTGTTCTTGGAAACAACCCCCTCTGTCAATAAAGAGGTTAACTGTACGTATCTTCTCTAGATTCTGTCTTTTATATTTAAAACAAATTCGTTTTCGACATGCAGATCTTAGTGCGTTGAGCTTTCTCGGGCATTCTACCTTCTCGGCGAAGGAAGCAAATCTGATTCAAACAAGGAGGATTGCCCCATCCGAGTCCAGAGTGGCATGATGTGAAGAAAGCGATTTAAAATGAGGGCTTCATTTCCATCATGACTCATAAAGTACAAGACGATATATTCTCCCACATCTCCTTTTTCGTGCCACTCGGGCATCGAAGGAGACCCGCGGCCATCCCACTACTCTCAGAGGCTTCTTGCGGTCCTCCCATCTCAGCCTCCCAACAGGATTCAGGAAATCCCCCTTCTCCCATTATACAATGTGGTGGGACCCGCAATGAAACCAAATTAATAAAAAATAATGGAAATAATAAAAAATATAGAAAAAATAATTTAATTAATTCTCACTGACCAGTGATTTTTTTTATTCTCCGCTTAATTAGTTGTGATTTATGTTCATAAAAAAAAAAAAAGGAAAGAAGACTGAGATACTTTAATCCTTGTTGTAGATGTGGGTCCATGTATAAGGAGCGGACAAGAGAGGTAAATCCTGTCTAGGCTCCGACATGGCACGCTCCGCATCGCTCTTGGTCGGGTCCGCGTCCGGAGTTGGTACGTTGGGCCCGAAAGATCAGTTTCTAATCCCGAAATAGCCATCACAGAATCGACGAATCACAAGGCAGTTTCGATGTGGAGCCGTACGATGAAGGCAGGATAAACGTGAAGCCGAAAGAGATCACGTGCGCCGTACGCGACTTCACGCAACGTAGCACTCCCCCCCGGACGCATCCTAGCCGTCCGTAGCGGTGGGTCCCTCTTCCAAGGCCGAGTTTAATAACCCCCACCCCTCCTCCAAACGCTTCGAATCGCCTCCTCCCTCCCCCCGCCCCGATCTCACCACCCCCACGCTTTCCTCTCCCACTATCGCCCGAGCTCGCCACCACGGATCGCCTGCCTTTCCTTCGCCGTCTCGGTCCGCCGGAGCCGCAGTCGTCCTCTTCTCGTTTCGGCATGGACGAGCTTCCGGGTATTCTCGCCCGGGATTTCGGGTTCCGGCCGCAGGGCAAGTCCGCTCCCATGGCCGCATCCAAGGCCGCCTCCGCTGGCGGCGTGAATCTTGACGCCGGAATGAACAGATCCTCTGAAGCGAGCTCGTCCTTGAATAGGCCGAGATCCGGGCCGAACCCGACCTCGGCCGGGGATCCATTCCTCGGTGATCACCGATTCAAGACTCCCGGAAGCCGGAGCCCCCCGGGTCACGATGATATCTTCGGAGGTCCTCCGAGTTATTCGAATAAGTCCTCCGATCGGAGGTCGGTGGAGGGTCTCAGCCACTACAAATCGAAATCTTCGTCTTCTTTGCCGGTGTATGATAAGCCGGTTCATGATGATGATGCCATCTTCGATGGGGTTCCCGGATTAAAGAGCACGTCTGCTAAGTATGACGATATATTTTCTTCGGTCTTGCCGGCATCCAAACATGATTCTACTCCCCCATACGACGATCTTCTTGAGAATCTTGGGAAACCAATGCCGGCGCCAAAGAACGCGAACGAGGAGAGATCAGGTGAGAAAGAGCACGACTTGTCCGGATTTGATGAGCTGATTCCTGGATTTGGTGGGAGCAGTCCTCCCAAGAAAAGGTACAATTTTGGTTCACTCTTTAGCTTGTTTGGTGCTCTGATGCTGTTTATTAGTTATTTTAACCTTTTATATTGGTCTAAAGATATATATTGGTCGTAAACATATACATATATCATGGAATTCCACCTTACTTTGACCCGATTGACTTCTTAAAAATAATGAAATTTTTGTTCACTTGTACAAATTGTTGGTTGAAAATATTGAACCTTGAGAGAGGTTACCTGATGAAAATACCCACAAAATATCCAGCCTCTATACCTCATGAAGTGACAAACTTGCCAAATACAAGCATTTAAAAATTATCTCGGCTCTTAAACTGGAAGTTTTCTGCATATCTTATTTTAGAGTTACAGACACGATAAGATATTCTTATGGGGCTTGTTTTAGCCTTTAGGAAGACTAATTCACATTTGCTCGATAAGTTAAGGGAAATGCATTATGAGTTGAAGTTCAATCTTAATTTCAACTCAATGCTAACCTCAATAGAACCAATAAGCCTCTCATATCATAAGCAACTAGTCAGGCGTTATCGATGCATGAAGAGTGTGAATTATAGATGATTTTGTAGTCATTTAAGGTAATTACTCTTTGTAATCATTTCACTATTCTTACAACTTGTAAGCACATTAAAACAGTAGCTTGGTTCTGGTACATTAAGGTGCCCTTTGTGTTTTATTCTCTCTTTCTTGTGGTCGCCTCTTCCTTTTTTGTGCCCCAATTTTTCTCTCCTTTTTTTTCATAGCAGGTGGATTTAAGGGAAAAGTATATTTTTGATTAGCATTCTACCTTCTTCTTCTGGATAAAGCATCCTTCTGAAAGGAAGTTTGGTATTCTTGCTCAGAAGCAAGGATGTAAATTACAAGTTCCTGTAGTTCATGAGTATATTTTTTGCTTTCTTGCTCTACATCCATTTCTTGTGTTCTATGATTCTATGAGAAGAATAACTCTCATGGTTTTGTCATCGAATCTACATTCTGCTCTAGCTACTTTTCTACTCTGTGCTTCTAGGTGGCATGATAAATGATATAAGGATAAAGTGACATAAATTATATGACATAAACTTGTGATATGAATCTTACAAAAATAAAAGGTACAAGTAAAATAACCTAATTTAGTTATTCATTTAACTTAACAGTGACTAAGACAAAAGTTTACTGCAACTAATCAACATTAGTCAAAATGCCAGATACCACTTGCAGGTGTAGCATGAGCTTTGCAAGTTTGGTCTGAAATTAATTGGCACTTCAACTTGCTTGGTCTAATCAATTACTCCCTCTCAACTAATCTGAATAGAAAGTTATCATTTTAGTCTGAAAGATTAAAGAAAAACCTAAATTCTCACATAATTCACTAAACTATATCGGCATTCCAGATTGTCCACTAAACTTGTTTGGGATGGCTATATCTTATTTTGGTGAACTTTTAGATGTAAAATATAGTTGCATAGTTATATTCCAACTATTTACAATTGTTGTCCTATTCCAGCTGTTGTCTTTACATTCTATGATTTTAAACAAAAAACAAAAATCCATGGTGCCTTGCAGGGAGCCTCCAGAGGTTAACCAACAAAAGCCTTCTGTTTCATCAGCTAAACCAGCTTCCATTGTGACAGAGGACCCCTTTGTTGTTTTAGAAACAGAATCTACCTCTACATCATCTTCAGGCTTTATCCTTGACCCTTTGGAAAATATTAGCATGCCTCTGAACTCAGAAAACATGAAGGTTGGCGCTTCCTCTGTTAGTGGGGGCTCATCTGTTGAGATTGATTCATTTGGTGGACTCTCCAAATCGATGCCAGCATCTATGGCTGACATAAATGAGAGTCAGAAGAACAAGGGTTATACACATGATGCCCACAACATGAGCCCTGGGCATCATTTTTCTGGAGGACAAGCTCAACAGGCTTCAGCAGATGCCCATGAAAGCATCTTGCCAAAGATGCATCCTCCTAAATCTTCTGACTCGCAGAAATTTGCTGGTGTAAGTGGTGTCCAAAGTTCTGCTACACATGGAAGAAATACCACAGTTGACCAAACCCCAAAGTCCTATGAACAGTCAGAGACAGCAGATGATGTATGGCTAACTGTTGATGAGATTCCCCTCTTCACTCAACCTTCAGGTGCTTCTCCGCCTTCTAGGCCTCCTCCTCCATTTGACACAAAAAAAGCCACTTCTGCAGACAATGGAAAAAGGGAAAAAGAATCCTTATCCCAGCCTACTCAAAGCTATACTTATACAAAAGATAAAGCAAGGAAACCTGTTGTATCTCCAATAGATGAACTTGAAGATTTTGCGATGGGCAAGCCTCAGACGCATTCACAGGACCATGCAGATATCTTTACTAGAGAAAACAATATAGAGGCAAATTCAGATGCTGCAGCATCTGCAGCTGCTATGAAGGAGGCTGTGGACAGAGCTGAGGTAAAGTTCAGGCATGCTAGGGGGTTAAGGGAGAGAGAACGCAATCCAAAGTCAACTAAAAGCAGAGTACCTGTATGGCACGAAAGAGTTCAAAAAGCAAAAATATGTGAACATGATGTAGAAGATAAAGAGAATCAAGAAAGAATATATAAGGAACAACAACAGAAGGAATGGAGGAGAATTGAAAAAGAAAGAAAAAAAGAACAGGCCAGACAAGCTGCAGAGAGAGCTACAAGAGAGGTACAGGAACGGTCAGCTGCTGAAGGTCGACTAAAAGCTGAGAAGGCAGCTGCAGGAATACATGAAAGAGCTGCAGCAGAGGCTCGAGAAAGAGCAGCAGCAGAAGCAAGAGACAAAGCTGCAGGAGAAAAGCAGCAGAAACCTGAAAATGACCTCGAGTCTTTCTTCTCAATGGGTACTCAAGCAAGCAGTTCACCCAAGCAAAGGGCTACAGTAGTGAGTACATATCAAAATTTTGGGGCAATTCTTATTACCAAAGCTGATCACGTAATGGATGTTTCAGGAATCCATGTTTGATGTTCAATCTCAAAGCAAGGGTGGTTATGATGGGACAAGAACATCTTCAAGTTTCTCATCTACCATCAGGAAGGCATCTTCCACAACAAATATTGTGGATGATCTATCTTCCATTTTTGGAGGTAGTGTTCATAGTTCTTCCAAATTGATTGATTATCTACACCCTTGCAGTTATAGTAGATTTAGCTAAATAGTTTCTTTATCATTTAAAGCTCCTCAATCATCTGGAGAGTTCCAAGAAGCTGGAGAGAGTGAAGAAAGAAGAAAAGCTAGACTGGAACGGCATCAAAGGACACTTGAGCGTGCGGTACTTTATTCCTGTCTATGTTTTTTAAATAAAATATTAGTGATAGTAGAGAAACTTTGTCTTCTGTCTGGCCATCTGATGCTAGAATCTTATAATCTCTTATGTTACTACGATTATTTTTGGCCAGGCCAAAGCATTGGCAGAGAAAAATGAGCGTGATATGCAAATTCAGAGGGAGCAGGCAGAAAGACAAGTAAGCAACTTGTTGATCTGAAAGGCTTACCGGCCTATACCTGAATAGACAATGAATGATGGATCATGTTATATTATATCATAATGCTTGATATTTCACATCAATTAGTTTGCCCTTAATTGTGGTTGTCACTAATTTCAGAGGATTGCAGAAGCACTGGATTTTGATATAAAACGTTGGGCTTCTGGGAAAGAAGGAAATTTGCGTGCCTTGTTATCAACATTGCAATATGTGGGTTATTAGAATTTGTTGACCGTTATCTATCGAGGAGCTTATCTGTTGTTTCTTACTTTTCTCTTCTCCTTTTATGTCATGTTACTATTTGATATTAATTAATCTTGATCGACTAGCATGTCCACGTAAACCAATCATTGTTTTTTATGATCCTCTTTGGCTGCATAAGGGCCCTGTTGAGGGGGTGAGGTGCAGCTTATATTTTCTTGTACCATTTTGCATTTACTTCTAATTTTGCAAATGCAGGTAGTTTGGCCCGAATGCAGTTGGCAGCCTGTATCTTTGACTGATTTGATCACTGCTGCTGCAGTGAAAAAGGTTTATAGAAAGGCAACCTTGTGTCTCCATCCGGATAAGGTGCAACAGAAGGGTGCAAATCTTCAACAAAAATATATTGCTGAGAAAGTGTTTGATCTCCTTAAGGTACTTATCTGTTTCTCAGTTGTTTTTGTTGCCAAATCTATCCATGTGAATCCCTTCGGCCCTCAGAAACTGATGCTTATAGCAGTTATTATTCTTGTCTTCTACCTATTTTTAAGATTGTGATGTTTCACGTTTCAAGCCAAACGTCATATTGGCTACCCAAATCATCACCCCAGCTACGCCTGTGGATTCACTCATGCAAACAGCTTTGTGAGCCACATGTAATGTGCTTTGCATCATAGTAATTTCTAATAATTTTCCTGCATCATAGTAAACTACCATTAACGTAAATTAAGCATTATTTGGTAATAAACATTAGATGTTTCAGGATTTGAAAATAATCTCTATTAACTTCTGTCATTGACCATAATTGATAACTTCCATTTTTTTAGTGCTGTACCCATATATAGACTCTAAACATATTTCAAGGTCCGTATTCAGGAAATAGATAAATGAACATGTGACATGGTTATCTGGAAGAATTTCTTCCATGTTTATCAATATTATATCCATGTAGCTTGCCATGTTATGTGCACTATTAATTACTGATATCTAGTAATGTTTTCATTTCAATTAGGAAGCAAGACAAAGTTTTACCGACATTACTGAGAAAGTTCTTGCCAGTTTGCTTTTCCACTGCTCATCATAAAATCTTTTAGTTGCTTCTTTAATGAAACAAGATAGCTATTTGAACAGGTTAACCTAACAATCAAAATACTTCACTTACAACCACCAAATCCATTAGCCTAGTAATAAATTTATCTGTGTCAACTTTACCAAAATATTTCAAGTAAAAGATGCTAGAAAATGGACTAGCCTTTGTTGTATAAAATAGGATTTTGGTAAGAGCAGTTTGGGCAGGGAAACTAGTGACTTTCGAGGTAATTTGCATCAAGGGTCAACAAGACCTTTTACCTATTTGCACTAGAATAGATGAAATTGTGTTGTGTTTTTCAGTTTGAAGTTTTAAGTGATGTTCTACTAGCTGATTATTCTGTTTGGACAATAAAGGGAGGCAGGTGAACAAACTATTTTAATGTAATTGAAGCAAATGATCAACAATTACAACCTAAAGTATGTCTTCAGTACTTTGGATCTATAATTCAACTAAAGAGGAATTCTAGCAATATTTCCTACAAATCAAAAGCTGTATGGTTAGACTATAAAATTCTTGTCTTGTTGTAATCATCCAACCTGAAAGAAAAAGATCTTATAGGATGACTGTACTATCAATCAACTGTGGATTGTAAGATTAGGCAGTTAAAAAATAATATATCCATTAATATAAAGAAAAAAGTATGTCTGAGATGTTAACATATATATACAAGAACATTGAGGTGGGTTGGTGGTGTTCCTAGCAAAAAAAGTAATTCCATTTAATGTAAGTTACAGGTAGTTTATATCCGAGGATATGATGGTACAAAATCTTTTGTGGTTAGGTTGGAGGTGATCAATGTAGAAGGGCAAATAAACTCGAGCATAAGCTCAAGTTCACATGTACTGGTCTTATGGGTTGACAATAAACTAGCTTTACCATCCTCAAAACAAAATTTGTGGAAATTTAGCTTGCTGCGCTAAGATCCATGCCTCCTTGTGTTTTCCTTATTTCTCATAATATTTTCTTTTTGACATGATGTAGGAAGCTTGGAACAAGTTCAGTTCTGCAGAGCTCTTTTTATAGGATCGACTACATCGTTGTCCGGGAGATACAGAGAGGGCAAGTGCATTCTCAATTACACTACAATCCATGTTTATTCCATTGGTTTTCTTGATGTGGTGATCATTTAGCAACGTCCTGCTTCACCCGTGTAGATGCAGATTTGAATTAGGAAACTATATCTCTTTAATGAGATATATATGTTCGTTGTGTAAATCCATGCCATTGATTAGATTACAAAAACTAGTTTCGGTGAAGAAAGCTTGTCAAACACTACCCTTTTTCTTGTGACGGGTTATGGATGACTGTTCGACTTGAATTAGCAAAGCAAATGCACTGAACTGTATCAAGTGGTGATGCGTAGATATGCATCACACTTGAGTGTGTTGTATACATATATGTATACTTAAAAGTTTGTTCTATACTTTCCTTTTGCACCTTCTATTCTTTGTTTTTTTCTTTGCTCAGTGGATCTTCTCGGGTTCCGTTACATCTCTTAGTATAAATATGAATTGTTGATCTAAAATCCGTTACTACATGACTTGGACACAAACTAATGTTTTTCTAGATAAATTGCGAGACAAAGAGGAAAAGAGAGGAGTAGTAGAAGGCAATGAGAAGGTGAAGGAGGAGGTGAGGCGGAGTTAGAAGAGGAGATTCAGCATAAGACAGAGGAGAGGAGGGTGAAATGGTTCATTGACTCAAATCGGTTAATAAAATTTTCTTAAGTAAAAACGATTATAAGAGGTATAATTATATGGTACATTTTCATTCAAAGATTTATTATACAAATATTTTCAATGCTTACCTATTTTCGATGCTTAAATTAATTATAGATGGGGCTATGAAACTCATACGAGATACATATTTGATCCTCCAACCATTACTATGTTTTTAGCTCTTGCAAAAAAAATTTCTCTCCCCTAAATTTTAAATACTCAATAAAGTTTCTTTTAAGATAATATTCGAAAAACAAGTAAGTCGAATTTAATTTTATCAAGTCAAATTAATGATTAAATTTGATCTTCTATGCTATTCTACTGGATTTAATGGTTGATATCAACACACAATAAACATTCAAAATATTTTATATTTTCTAAGGTGGGGTTGATTTAGCAGTAGTGATTTTGTTGACCATCTTGGAGTCAATTTTCAGCTATATGTTTTTAAATATTTTTCAGTTATTTTGATGTATTTATTGTTATTATCTCTGGGAATATATTAGGGTGATTTTTTGAAAAAAAAAATATTTTTTTTAAATTTTTTTAGATAATATTTTTTCTTATATTTTTTTTCATTTTGTGTATTTATTTTCTCTAGCATCCTAAATGTCATTAGTTGTTGCTAATACTCTCTTTCTTTGTTGTCATGGTGACACTACTAATTGTCAGACATCTTCTTTTCGACTATCTCAAAGTTGATTCGCTTTTGTCTTGTTGTGATCGTCATCATCCTCGTCACATAACGAGATTCTACTCTCTTCGTCTTTCTAATTTAATTGTCACTTTCATCATATCGTTTAAAACTTTATCATTATCGTCCTATCATGACAATAATCAATGTTCAACCTATCAATGAAAAAAGAAAAAGGTATAATATTAGAGAAAAATAGAATTAAAATTAAAGACATTGAGTCGAAAAAGATAAGAGTTTTTCAAAAAAATCACCCAATATAATAGCTGGATAATCTCAATATGATACATAAGATAAATATTATATAATTATTCATTTTTTTCACACTCATTTTACCAAAATTTGAGAGAATTTTTATCAAATTTAGATACAGTAATACCTGCCGTGAAAGAAAAATGAACGGGTTGGAAAAATACAATGTAATTTTCTTTAATACGGTATAAACGCGTGGGATCCGCTTCTTCCGAGTTTGACCAGGACACTTCGGTCAACGCGACGGTGGCACACGGTAATTAGCGAGTCTCCTCTTCCTATTTAACCGACCCCTTTCCTCTTCTACTCTTTCGTTTCTGTTTCCGCGGCGAACCGCTCAAATAAAAAGAGGAGAGGAGGTGAGAGGTAGCGATGGCGGAGAGCCCGAGCTCGATTGAATCGATCAGGAAATGGATCGTGGAGCACAAGCTGCGGGCCGTCGGTAATTTCTTGAATATTGGGTTATTTTTCTCTCTGTCTCGCTCTTTCTATTGAGATTCGAGGGATCTGATGGGTTTCTTTTGTCTAGGGTGCCTTTGGCTCAGCGGGATAGGGAGTTCGATCGCCTACAACTGGTCGCGCCATAACATGAAACCCAGCGTCAAGATCATCCACGCGAGGTTTGTTCTCGCTGATCTGTTCTTGCCTGCGCGAACAATTTCTTGTTTTTGTCTAATTATTAGAAAAATAGATCTTGTCTTGTGCTTAGTGCTGCTGTCGTGTGACGAATTGCTGCGATGATCTAACGTTTTAAGAATTAGGGGTTTTTTGTGTTCGGTTCAACTGATACGAGATCTGTTCGTTCGAATGGGTCTTCTCGAAGAAAAGTTTGGTCCTTGAATCGTGGGTGAGATGGTTGACGGACTTATAACAAGTCTTGGGATGATATATATTTAGATATATAGCTGCTGAAGAATATATGATCTTTACTTCCACTTCAACGAGACATTGATAAAGGCCAAAATTGCTGATCACGGATTGAAGCCTTTCTAATTTAAGAGGATCCTAGCCCGGATTACATTAAGGGATATGCTGGATTGGTGCCTGTCATGAAACGGCCATTTACTAGCTTATGGGATTGGCAGTGTTTTTATGCATGTCCGTATTGCTATACTTGTTTTTGTTAGTAAGCCTTAGTCTTTTTACCAAAGTACTCAATAAACCATAGATGCAGCTTTCGTAAGGTTTATGAGAGCTTAGATGTGCTTATAGATATATTCACCTTCATAACAAAACTTAAGTGCTTGTCTAATTCTTGGTGGCTGAGCAAATAAGTCATAAGATTTGTCCTGAATAGCTATTTTATGTTTTTTTATTTTAGTTTTTATAGTGTTCATAAGTAATTTCTTAACGTATGATATTTTTTACACTACTTTCTGAAACAGTTTGTTTATCAAGATCCAGTTTCGGCTATTATTGCTGGATGGCCAAACCAATGAAGTTGATAAAACCTTAGATACATCTAAATAGTAAGCTAGCACCTTAATTTGCTTTGGTCAAGAAATTAGGGAAGATTACATGCATAGGAACAAGAATTTGTATCATATCCATGTCCATTATGGAAGGATTACATCAAGCTTGTTTGTAAACCATGTTAACCATTTTTCCCATGCATGGTGAAGTATAGTAATGTTTGAAATATTTTTATATTTTTGTAAGACCTTCAATCTGCAATTGCATAGATCCAGTTATAAGACCATGGAATTTTTTTGAACATAGAATATGTGTGGTGTAAGGTGTTACAGTCTGTTTCATTCCCAAGAAAACGAAAGAAAAGAAAATATATTTACTTTCCTTTTTTTCTATACAAGAACAATAAAAAGTTCATTTTCATTCACTTCTTAGGCACCAAATTAACCCTTGAAGAAAGAAAGGAACAAGAAATGGAAATGGGGACGTTTGTTTGATAACTACAGTTGAATTTTAGGTCAATAGTTAATTGCATACTTGCCATAATATACGGAACTCTATAAATTTACCTGAAAGTATATTTGGATCTAAAGGATTATTAAAAAAATTATTTGATGTGCCTTAAGAAGAATTAAGTTTGCTAAATATGTGCATTTTTCTTGCCTACCAAATATATCATGGATTGTAGAATCACCAAGAGTGTACATGCTCTGAGACAACCTCTTATGGTCTAACCATCAAAAAGTCCTATATATGTTCCCTTTTAGTTAAGCCTTCATTTTGTACTACAAACTTGATGGACACCGAATACAGGGTTTACTCTTTATATTATTATGCATTTAGTATACTGAAGAATATTAACATGTTCAAACCTCCCATGAACTTGGTATACTGAATTCTGCGACGGACATGAACTGAAGCTCTTTGGACAACTGCCCTTGAAGTTGCTTGCGTGTGATTGTGATGCACAGCAAATCATTTTGGCAGTTTGCAATTTTCATCTGTAACTCATGTAATCATTAACCGTGTGATTTGATTTCTTATCATTTACCTTCTCTCGAGTTATTTAGAATATGTTATTATTCAACAAACGTACACCCGTATAAAGGTATCACCAGAAGCTTCAACCTTTTTACCACATAGAATCTTAGTTTGTGCATATATCTTCAAGTTTCATCCTTCTTGAAGTGATTATAAGATTTAGTTTGACGCAGATTTCTTGGTACATGTATCTTGCAGGTTGCATGCTCAGGCTCTGACACTGGCTGCCTTAGCTGGTGCTGCCTTGGTCGAGTACTACGATCATCAGTCTAAACCAGGATCAAATGTGGTCAAATATCCCGATCAATTCCTGGCACACCCACAGAAAGACTAGAAGCATTTGATGAGCCGCCCTCACCCTCCAATAAACTCTCAGATCACTCGATTTTTCTTGATTCGGTGATTATTCTTTTCTAATGCATTATGTGCAAACAATTGCACTAAAAATCATTATTTTCTGTAAAGGCAGAGTTCAGTTTCTGTCGTTGCCACAATCATTATATTGGCGTTGTCATTTTGATGCCTTTTTCTATTTAAATTTATGAATCAGTTAAAGATGATTTAGTTTCCATGATCTACTATATCAATGATGATTTGGTGTCTGTATGTAAATATATAGTATATCCATGATCTACTATATATTTTTATTTTTGAGTTGGTTCTTTGTGAACTTGTCCAACGTCACTACGTGTGCATGCATGCATGCGGCTGTTTCACGCTAAGAGTCCATTGTAATATTATTATTATTATTATTATTATTATTATTATTATAAATAAATGATAAATACGGAATTTGCGCTCAGGATTTTTTCGATAAACTATTATTGCAAATTAGTGTGCGGTATTGTATCATATGATTACCGATACATGCCATATGCTAAGCACATGCATCTCACGGGCAGGCAGTCTGAGCGCTGGAGCTCTCTGTGCGTGGGTGAGCCGGTTTATTTCTCGGTTCGATGACGGCCCATTCTTCGAAGCCGGTCCAGATTTTGTCCAATAAAAAATAGAATATGAATGCGGTTAATTCATCCGCGAACGCGCAAGAAAAAGGCAGCTTCTCTTGACGGCTTCACTCTCCATCCCCATCCAATCATCACCGTCCTCGTCGTCATCTCACTCCCGGATGATTTCTAGGGCTTTGTTGTTTCGCTTTTCATCTCGAAAGCGGCGATCCAATTCATACTCTCACGACGAGTGGTGCTGATTCTTGTCAGATCTCGGCCCTGGAGAGACAAGGCAGGGTTTGTCGAGGTTCCCATTTCCGCCTTCTCTTCGGTTTTTGAACCTTTTTTGTGCCCAATTTGTCTTTCGCCCTCTCTATTCGTCTGTTTCTTGGACCTAAAGTGGAACATCATCGGATCGGTGGAGAATCAAGAACCGGTTGAGACGATGTAGCCGTAAATCTTTATCAAAACATGCCCATTCTTGAAGATTCTGGGTTGACTAGATCTCGCATTGTGTGATGGTAATCCTCGAAAGTAAATTTGGTGCTTTCGTTTCTTGGAGTATTCGAGTTTCGAACTGTAAAAACGGAAAGAAACAAAAATCTTGACCCAATCTTCTTCCTCAATGCGTTCTTTAAAGTTTTGACTTCCAGGACTGAGACCTTGTCGCAACCATATGTTCTTCATTCATATGAAATCTTTATACTTATTTCAGTAATTCGATCTTCATGGGTCTGATGCTAAAATTTTATTCATTGCCAGTTCTCTGACAAGCAATACTTTCTCTGGTTTCATAGTGCAATTCATATTGACTGGATTTGTCTAATTTGTTTTGACATGTAAATCGGTAATCTTGATAGGGTTTGAAATGTGAACTCTGCTTTAAGATGTTCCACCAGAGCAAGATCAAGTTGGCTGCGCTCGTGGGGATCACATTGTCCGTGCTTTCTTTGCTTGTGCACATTTTTGTTGCAAATTATTCAGTGGGGGACTTTCTACGATACAAGTTGCAAGAAGACTACTTATACCCACAGGGACATGTATGTTAATACCACGCATCCAACTATCAGCATTTCTTATTTTACATTTTATTTTATGGTCATACTAAATTTGGTATTTATTTTTAGGAAGCGTCCTTTTTGACCTCACACTTCATCTTAAGATTTTCCTTAAAAAAAAAGCTTCTTGTTGTTTATGTTGGCTATAGTAGTTTAATCATAGTATACTCTTACAGAAACTTTGGCATCGAAGGTTGTGGGGTCCGGTGAGCTCCTTGGAGGTCTTGCAACCATATGCTAAGCCGAGAAATTTCTACCCTGGTATTGCATTTCATTATAAGCTTTGTTGCATTCATTTAGTAATGAGGATTGAAAACCTTGACTAAAGGATATCCGCTGAAGGCCATTTCTTGTTTCAGAGCTATTAAATGATATCTGAAGATGATATGCTTATTCGACAGCAATAACTGTATAGATCTGGTAGTTGCAAGTTCAAAATAATAATTTGGCCAAAACAACAAAGGTAAACATCATTTAATTAAGAAAAAAATTGAAAAATGCATCCCATATCATATAGGCAAAACTAGTTGATTTTGAAGTGATTTTATTTGGAGGTTGCTTTACGATTTTATCTAATCAGAATTTGGCACCTTTCAACTGGATTGATGCACTTGTGTAAAGAAAAAGCTTTTGTCTTCTAAACTTGATACTGATAGTGTGGAATTACTTTAAATACAGTAAATTTCTGTTTTTTAATATTTCTTCTTGGCTTATGAGGTTCTTTGGTTTTTTATATGTCACAGTTCCAGGTCAGCAGAATGGTTTGATATATGCAAAAATCTTTGGTGGATTTGTGAAGATAAGATCTTCAGTATGTTTTTCCTTCTTCTAAAGCACACTATTTACTGGAATTAAGATATTGTCATGACAATGCCAGATAGCACATGGTTTGGCATGTGTCATCCTTTGTGCTCTGCCCGTAAATAGACTCAGCAAAGCTTTGTGCCTGTTTTTAATACTTCTTGGAACATCCAGTGCATACACATGGTTTGGTAAGCACATGCTAATGTGTTTTTTCTTTTTTCTTTTTGCAGATTTGCGACCTTGTTGCTATTGCAAGGCTCTTAAATGCCACACTCGTCATTCCAGAGATCCAACAAAGTGTTCGTTCAAAGGGCATCAGGTCTTTCTAACGATGCTTTATGTGCAGTTTTTGGTGCTCTAATGTCTTTTGTACTAAAGATGCATCTGCTTATTGCTTTTATTTTTTTTTTGCATACCAGTAAAAAATTTAAGAGTTTCTCTTATCTTTACGATGAAGAACAGTTCATAGCAGCACTTTTAGATGATGTTATTGTTATAAAGAGCTTGCCAGCAGATCTGAAGGAGGCTAGGAAAAGGACAAAATTTCCTACAATATCACCGAAACGATCAGCTTCCCCAACTTTTTATATCAGAGAAGTCTTACCTAAACTTAAACAATCAAAGGTTATTAGGATGCTAGTTTCTGATGGAGGATGCCTTCAGGTATAATTCAAGTCTTTTTTTTTTCTAAAAATTTTATTCAAATTGAAATTGGTTTTTACCTCCCTCCATAAACTAATACATCTGAAGAATTAGACATGTCCTCTGTTTGTTAGTTTTCTCAGAACAATAATGTTATCTTAGTTCTTGGAAAAGAAGAGGTGCATACAAAAAGTTTCAAGCACCTCTTGTTCCCGGTTGTTACAAATAAATAAATTAAGTAAAAGCTTATATGATATTGTGAGCTACCATTTCTGTTGACTAATGGAACTGAAGATGTCACATGCATGACATCGTTAAAATCTTTGAGACTTTTTTCTTTTATATAATCAGACAACCTAACATACTGATAGTTGGTTTTCTGAATAGAAATTGTACGCTGAGCACTTTATGCATTTTCTTCTACAATATCATGTAGAGCTGATAATACCCCTCAAGTATTGGTCTCTGGTTTCTGAGAAAGCATTTTTAGACAAAAAAAAGGTCATGAAAGCTAATTCAGATAAAAGAAGGCGCACGGCTATGTTGTAACTCGAGCTCCTGCAGTCAGGAAACAGCTTTGTACAATTATACAGTAGATATTAGAAGCACATAGAGGCAAGAGACATGATGAAACATTAATTCCTCTATAGAGTGTTATATCAATGAAGTAAAGTTATGACATGCACCAACTGAGTGGATGTACTCTTCAGTGATCCTCAAGACAAAAGAGTGAGGAAAGGTTTGCATCTCTCTCAGTATATATATAAATATAAATAAATACATACATACATACATACATACATACATACATACATACGTACATACATATGGTGAGGTGCTAAGGAATATTTGCACATAGAACTGTGGATTGCATTACATATGCATCTTGTATGTGAGCTGTAAAAATGGTTTACCTCCATCTTTACTGGGTTTTGTTGTTTAATCAATATCCAGAAGTTATAGGCCTTTTAATAAGTAGACTACTAGTTTCATATAATGCTTTTCTCCTTGAAGTTTTTGTTCATGTATGATTAACTAAGTTGACAAGAAGATTTTTTAGTTTGATTTAATAGGTTTATAAATATTGATAAGTGATTGTCTTGTTCCGGAAGAATATTAGTGTCTATTTTGAACAAAAACTAAATAAATGTTTTAAAATTGAAAGTTAATGTTTTCTCATTAAAGGATCTTTCTACCCAGCCTTAGGGTTGGCACTATACAGAAGACTTTCATTAACTGTAACATAATAACATTGAAACTCAGGTGGAAATATAAAAACACTTTATGGCTATGGCTGATTTTGTATGTAAACAAATGAAAAGTCCTCTTTGTAGAAGCTTTCTACAAAAAGAAAGAAGTAATATAAATATTACCAGACCAAATGCAACTATTAGCATCAACAGCACCAGAAATATAGGTGTAAACCTGTTATTTGGGGCTGCATGTTCTTTGTTTCCCAAGAGCATTAGAAAGAAAAGAGGCAGAATATTTCTGCATGTCTTTAGGAAATTCATCTTTTAAGAAAAGAGTAACATATCTGAAAAGAGTTGTATTTTTTGTTTCAAGTTCTAGGTCAATCTGTTGAAATGCCAAGGAATATTGTCCTAATCTGATAATTTTGATGGGCATATGTATGGATCCTCAAGGAGGAGGCACTTGATATGGGATGTTTTTTTGACAACAAAAAATCTTGTACCTAGCAAGAGAATAATGTGAAAAGATTACAATAGAGTTGCATGTGAAATTGAAATAGGTTTCTCTGTTCAAATATTTTGGCTTGTTGCAAAACTATTTTCAGTATTCAATACCTCATAAGTCTATTTGTTTTTCTTATCCATTCTTGTTTATGTAGCCTATCCTTCCATCAAGCTTGGATGAATATCAGAGACTTAGATGCAGGGTTGCCTTCCATGCTCTTAAATTCCGCTCAGAAATTCAGGCACTTGGCAAACAAATGGTAGAAAGGTATCACATGTTTGCTAAATCATGAATTAAATGAAATAGCTAAAGCTTTATTCCATAAAAGAATAGAATTCTTTGTTGCATACATATAAGGGATCATTCATATTTATTCTGTAAGGTTGTGTTTATGAACTGGTGCCTGTATTCCGCTCTCAAAATTTTTAGTCAGATTTGTTCTTGCCCGACTATTACAAAGTTGGAGTGTGCTTAAATATGGCCAATCTCAAATTAAATGTCATTGCAGGTTACAGGCAACTGTTGGTCCGTATCTATCGTATCATCCAGGCCTTGTCAGGAACACCCTTGCATTTCATGGTTGTGCTGAACTTTTCCAGGTTGGTGCCATTTAGAAGTAGTCTCAGTGCCATAAGTAGTATGTGGTTTGTTTCTTTTGTATCTCATTCGTTATTTTTATTACAAAGAAAATTCATTCATTGTTTAACTCATTAGTCTGATATTTGACATGCTGGATTCTAGTATGTCGTGCATGATTTCATATCTACTTGACCAGAGTTCTTCTTGACACTGGATAGGATGTTCATACTGAACTCATTCAGCATAGAAGGAAGCAGCTGATAAAACAGGGAACAGTTGATGAAGATCTTATTGTTGATTCAGTTTCTAGAAAGACAAATGGTTCATGCCCTCTATTGCCTGAAGAGGTGACTTTACCCATTCATCTCCATTATGTAATATTATCTTGCTTAAATGATGCTAGGGCAAATATGTTTTATTTCTAACTCCAAGATAAGAAAACTTTTAAATTTCTGGGATTGATTTTTTTGTTTCTAATTCTTTATATTTTTGCTAAAAAGTTTAGGGCATTGCTGGAATAACTGGTTCCATTTGCACTTCTGATCAATCTTCAACACTTTTTATTATCTTGTGGTTCACATATTTGGTTGTCTATTTCTTGGTCTTGCTGTGGTGAAGTTTGAGCTTCCCGGTCAATTGCTTAACCCTCCAAGAATGTTTGAGAGAACTGACACCTTCCTGGTCGACCTTGCCTGATCCATCATAAATGTCTCCTTTGTCTTATCCTCAGCTGTTATTACCTCTACCTTATTTAATTGTAATCATTTTGGATCGCACAAATGATTTATAATGCAGGTGAGTAGTATTTGTTGAGCACTTAAGAGTAATAAAGCAAGGTTAGGAAGAAATTCAATTTAAGGCTTTGATTTCAGATGAACTGCGAATTTCTAGATTCCAGTAGCATCTTCTATTAGAAATTTGAACTTTCTTATTTGTCCTCTCTATAAGTAGATGCAATCAAGTTGCTCAATATTTCACCAGAAGCTACTTTAGCTCGCTAAATGTTATTTTGAGTGAAGTTAATAATCTTTGTGTATTTTCCATGTTCTAACAAATTTTAGATGTCTATGTTGAAATTTTAGCTTGAATCTTTGCAGGTTGGACTTCTTCTTCGAGCAATGGGATATCCACCAAATACCGTAATCTATTTGGCTGGTTCTGAGACATTTGGTGGGCAGAGGATTCTAGTTCCATTGCAAGCCATGTATACAAACTTAGTAGATTGCACATCCTTATGCAGTAAGAAAGAGCTGTTAAACTTGATTGGTCCTGAATATCCTCTTACTTCAAATCTCTCTCAGCCTCCTCCAGTGAAGAGTGAAAAACAACTTATTGAGGAGTGGAAGAAAGCTGGGCCTCGACCACGACCCCTTCCTCCCCCTCCTGCAAGGCCCTTTTACCAGCATGAGAATGAAGGTTGGTATGGTTGGGTTGCTGAGACTGATATAGAGCCTGAGTTTTCGCCTTTGGATCTTAGGAAGCAAGCACACAGGTTACTCTGGGATGCTCTTGACTATTATGTTTCTGTTGAAGCTGATGCATTTTTTCCTGGTTTTAACAATGATGGTAGCGGATGGCCTGATTTTTCAAGCTTGGTCATGGGGCACCGACTATACCAAACACCTTCTGGAGTAACCTATCGCCCTAGCAGGTAAAGTTCCTTATATTAGTTTGTTCCATTTGAGAAATAGAAGAAATTATTTGTCGAAGTAGCATTTTTATCTTTTGCAGTTCTCAATGATGCACTTGTTTTTTATTGGATCTTTCTTGCATTAGATCTTCTTCCTGGATGATCATAACCTTGCTGCAGTGTGATGCAGCAATTACTCTTTCTGACACTTCAGAGACTGCTGGTGTTCTCTTCTTTTTCTTACAGCAGAATTTTTATTAGGTACAATAGGAGCTGTAGACCAACTTGAGAAAAGCTCCATTTATCAGGCATTTACATATTCATCTAGGGAAAACAATATTATGCTAAACTGAAACTAATTCCCAGCAATTGAGCTGTCCGCTTTCTAATAATGATCCTTCGATTGACCTAAGCTTTAAATAGGATGTAATTGGATTGACGGCTATTTTTCTTTCTATCAAAAATGTGCTGCAGCATCCCTTCCCCCTTTTCTTTCTTGCAACCTGCTGCTGCTACAGCATGGTTAGCTGTTGTGCCAAAATAGGGTGCTGGTAGAATTTGTTAATAGTAATAAATGAATTGAAAAGAAAAAAGGAAATAAAAGAAGAGAATGACTTGAGGCCTTGCCCTCTGATGACCAACCATCTCCAGCATCCTCTCGTTAGCTGTTCTGTTGGCTCAGACCTAAAGAGGGAGGTGACTGCATAAAAAATCTGTCAGTTTGATGACCACCATTTTAAGTAAATATAGACTGGATGGTGGATCATCAACCAAGCTGCACCAAATTGGCTGCAAACTAATGTTTCAGTAAGCCAGTTCATGTGCTTTGATTTCTTTGAAACTTGTTTGAAAAAAAGGGCTGCTATGCCAGTGATTTTCCTGTTGAAATTCAAATCGTTGATCTTTGACCATATGTTTGAAAAGATTTCTGCCTAGTCTCTGTAAAAAAAGTATGATCAAGACAATCCTAGTAATACTTGGAGTGCACTACAAGGGTTAAAGTGAAATTTTTTTTGTGGTATTGGACATGGTCAAGTGTGTACAAATTTCAAGAGAAGGGAACGTGGGTTACAACAAATATTTGGCAGGATTGTTATTAAAAATCTGGAATGTTTGATAGCTGAACTCTCCCTTTATTTTATCAAAATCTTGATATCTATGTTTTCTTTGTATGGTTTCCATGGTGGTTGACATATTGCAACTGTGTATTATTTGTTTTGTTGCCTAACTTAATGCATTTCTGAAATTATTAAACTTTCACCTACCTAAATTCTCTTTCCAGAATTTCTTATTGTGGATAGATTGTTGTATATAAAGACAACTAATTTGAATTATGATAGCTCCTTTCCATATCTGCTAAAAGAGGCTCTACATGGCTATTTTCCATGCAAACCATTTGAATGAGTTGGGGCAACAAATGAATTTGACATCTTTTAGAAAATCTGGTCTGTCACAGACAACGTGCCAAAGGGGTGTGATTTGTTCGTTCTTGTAGATTTTATACTTAAAAATTTAGAGTTGAGACAGCTGCGCTATTTTCTAATATGTACACTACTGAGTTTTGCTTCCACCAGGAAAACACTTGCTGGGCTGTTTGGCTCTGTACATGATAACTTGTATCATCCAACACACAATTGGATGCAACTGGTGCGGGATCATCTTAACAAGAGCTTGGGTATTGACGGACTTCTAGCAGGGGCTAAATCATCAAAACCTGCAAATTTTCTTTCCTACCCTTTCCCAGAATGTGCCTGCCGAACTTCGAAATCTTATGACATTCCTGCACATGTGATGAGCAGCAATGGTGAGATATTGTATGGAATTGAGGATGAATGTCCTGAATGGATGGTTCGTGGCCTAGCAATGGCTTCCTTTAAGACAACTGGTGCCAAAGATGAGGATGTTGACGAGATCGAGTTGCTGGAAGATGACAATGAGACAGACGGACAGTCTGAGTCTGATAATGGAAGCCGAAGTGACACAAGCAGATCCATGGAGCATGATGAAGAGATGGATCTAGATGATTAAAACATAATAGTGAATAGAGAGATCCAAATTTGAAATTGGCTCTTTCGGGATGAGTTTGAAAGCTGTTTGTCAAGGCTGTAAAGATATAACCAAAGCTGCAATCACTGTGAGTATTCTTCTTCCGCAAGCAGATCGAGGACACATGCTTAGTTGCAGTTGTGGAGTGCTTGTTGAATGTTCGGTCTCCATATACAATCTACTACAGAAGTTAGCCTTAGCATTCTTTTTGCTCCTGCCCTCTTTCATAAATTCCTTATTTTAATTTAATCTGTACATTTTAGTCTGTATCTTTATGTACATCATTCGTTAGTTTGGGGAGGAGTATAAAATTTCTTGAACCCATAAAGAACCAGAGATATAAACCACTTTCTGATCTTTGGACTACCAAAATTGATGCTGCTTGTTTCACCTGTGCAGAAAATCAAGTTTGGCTCCTCACAACTACCTAGTGCTATATTAATATTTCATACAACTCTACCAATGCAGTAACATGGCCATGTGCGTAATCAGATGAAGATTTCATGGTCCTGTGACATCTGATTTGAGTATGATGACAGCATTGTTTTTGCATTTAATGCATGTTTTGATGCAATTCTTGGTCTATTGATGTTCGTATGGCTGAAATCAACTCTTTCTCAACATGCTGTGAAGCTGGCTGTTGTATCTGCATTGACCAGTACTCAGCTGGATCCCCCATTAGAGTGAAGAAGTATCTTGGTGTGTGCAGAGATTGTCACACGGCATTTAATTTTATGTGCAAGATTGTTCCGGGGGAGATCATCATCAGAGACACCAACCAATATGTTTCATTGTTTCTGAGAATGAGCATGTTCTTGTGGAAATTACTGGTGACTTTGTGAGGGATCAGGATGTACATTAGGATACTGGTGACTTGTTTTTATTAATAATATCACCAAACATTTTCAGCAGGAGTCACAACCTCAGCTACTTGAAGATTACTGAAGTTACAAGGGATTTATTTTCAGTTTTGGCAAATCAATGAAACACAAGTGTTTTAAGACGTAAGGAGTATTCAGAAGTATTGTTGCTTGGCTTCTCAGGATTTAATCATTTCTCTCTTGTATGAATTATTATTTTTTGCATTGTTGAAGAAGAGCATGATTCCTCTTGATTCATCCTTCCCAGATAAGGAAGCAGAGATCATGAGGTATGTCAATTCTACTTTGATATGTGAAATTGCATTTTCCTTCTTAAATTGTCTTTCAAACCTCTTAAGTTTGTGCCAGTTTCATGTTTTTTTGCAAGTAGAAAAATATTGGTAGCACCTTTCAATTGTGGCTGGAGGTGGAAGAATGTTGAGAGGTACTTTCAATCCTAAATCACTCTCAAAAACTAGCTTGCTACTGATTGAGTTTATAATTGACCTCAATATCTTTAGGGTAATCACCATGGATAATTGACCTCGATGCCTGGATTTGTTCAAGCTTAAATATCTCTCTGCTGAGTGAGGTTTTCATCAATAAATTTCTTCATGCTTTTTAGTTTCTCCTCATCAGTTAAAATAATCATATGATTTTTTCAGGTGATCGAAAGATAAATTAAAACTAATATTGAGGAAAAAAAGAACTTGTGAATTCATCAAATTGCTTTAATTAACGTTGACCTGCAGGAACTTTGGAGTCATGCATGAGTCATGTGGGGTACTTCTAAGGAAAATTTGACTATATCTCCAGGAAGAATGACCTTGATTGCAACTTTAATCTGTGTTTACCTTAACCTAAAAAGAGGATTACATGGTACAGCCCAGCTCGACCAGATTAGGTTTCATCACTAAAATAGTGAGTTCAGACAATTGCAAAGTGAGTTGGTGTTCAGAATCTGCAGGTCATAACTCGAAACTTTGCATGTGAGCAGGGGACACAAGCGCACTCATTCAGATCTAATGTGACCTTCTTAGGTTTCCTGGGACAAGTTTTAGGTACTGTGGCCTTCATGGAGGCCAGGGTTGGTGCAAGATTCATCCTCAGTTTGAGTTGCTACAGGGAAGTTTCCAGGTACTTTCTTGGTGGAGTTGGTTGCAGCGTAGAACTCCATTTGAAGTCAAAGGTCAAGTCTTAAACACCTTCTTTTATCAAGAACACAAGGTCTGATCTCCTTACTGATTCCATGAAATCTTTTTTTGATTCCCAACTTGCCTTTGACTTTTATTTATCCCTATCTACTAGCTTCTGTGGCAACAGCCAAGTACTTGGATGATTAGGTTAAGAAAAGCACTTGCAGTCTGAAAGGAAACTAGAAACTACACTTTGGTCATCTCAATCTCTTTCCCAAGTCATGGCATGGCCAGAAAAGCTGGAGTTGGTCCAAAAAATTCCTGAGCACAACATGCAATGCGTTTGCCCCACAAGCAAGTGAAACTCAACTTGGCTGCTGCACCAGAAATAGGAGCCCTTCCAATCTTTTCCTCCTCCTTTTCTCCCTCGTTTCCTCCTTGTTAATGTCGGTCATTGAAACCATCAAGAAGGCTGCTCACCTGTGCAGCCATCTGTGCTGGCTTCCTTTGACATGTTATAGGTCTCAAAGAGATGGATGAAGTAATTGAATTGAACTAATAAAACCTCATGAAAAGAGAGGTGTCAATATGAATACATGGACAAAGGAAAAAGGAGAAGCCTCGAGCATGTAGCTTCAAGAGCCACCAACAAGTGTAACAAACGAAGATTAATGGACTACTTGTGCAGCTACAGATTCACATTCCTCCTGTGTGTGTTTATGTATTGTTGTGATCATCTCATTGAATTAGTGATCATGATCATTGCCATTGCCAGAGCTTGATCCATCCCAGGCTGCACCCTCAGGGTTAGAACATCCTTGTCGAGTAATTTCTTCGCCATCGAACCGCACTTTCTGCTAACCTGTCCACCAAATATTTGATCGTTCGATCAATACACAGTTGCATTTAGTTGAATCATCCGACACTAGAGTCGATAGATACCTCAGCCACCGGTGTGTTTGCTGCAGCCTGGTAGATCTTCGACCACTCCTTGTCTCGCGACCAGTTCATCCTGTAGCCTAAAGGCTTCACTCCACAGCCCGTGAACATGGATATGGTGCAACTATGGCAGCCCAGGTTCTTCGTTGCCTTGAACAGAGGCATTCTCTCTCCGACCATCCTTTGCACGTCTTTGTCGCCCTTGTAGGCCTCCCAGCTCTCGGTCAAGTTTAGAATCTGTACCACATAGATGAGCATTAGAAACCAGTAGCAGCACATTTCTCGAGTTCAGGAGTTGAAGTCTATCGTTTTGAGTAGAATGGATGGGAGAGAAGTGTACGTCTTTTGTTGGATTGGGTAGAAGATTGTGTGATTAGAGATTCAGTGGGTCTCTTTCAGGCTGATGGAGGAATGCTTTTTAGCCTAAGGAATGAATTATTGAGGTCATTTCTTGGGTGTCGGTAGGTTTAATGCTTGTTCTGCAATTTATGATATTGAGGAGACATCAAAGCTTCGTTGTCTATTCATTTCATCAAATCGCGTATCTCTTACATCCTTTCCTTCATTGTATTGGATCGCACAGACAACGCAATGGAGCAGTGAAGAAGAAGAAGAAGAAGAAGAGTCGTAGGCTGACCTTGCGACGGCGGCGGATGGTGAGCAGGACATTGCCGGTGTAATCCATGAGCACGGTCTCCTGCCTCCAGTTGTGGGCGTAGTTGTCGACGCGGAAGACCATCCGGCCGTCAGAGTCATCGTAAACGGTGTAGCCGTGGCCGTGGAAGAGGAGCGACTTGCACCAGACGGTGAGCCGGACGGGCGCCGGCGAACAGAGGTCCGGGAAGATCTCCCTTCCGCACATCCGGTCCTCCGCTGGATTCTTCTTCCCTCTCGTGGCTTCCATGAGCAAACGAGGCGGAGAGCTTGAACCTCGACGGAAGCCTTCCCTCGGGAACTTTTATAGTGGCTCTTGCGAGGGGTGGTGGGATCGCTGTTGACTGCATGCAGCCTTGTGATTCGAGGGGGATGCATGCATGGGTTTGACGAGAAACGTGGAGATTTGGCTTGTTGAACACCGGTGAGGAAGCTTCGTGATCACCCGTCTCTTTGCTTGAGACAGCCACCGGACCAGTTTTGATCCTACATTTGGATTTGACCTGACTTAGTTCATTCTCTACTGTTATCCTCATCCCAAAACAAAAAGATACGTATGTGTCTCTTATCTCATTTTAGTTTGAGGACAAAAAGATACATATTGTTCGTATGAGGTCATTTCGTATTGTATTGTTTTCGTAATCTTGGAGTCAATAGGGGAATAAACTTCTTAGATACTTTATTGATGAGGCTCGTTCAGTATCTAATAGGTTGGTATATGATCAATCAATCATGCAGAAAGTTTGATGCGGCGGTCATGCAATTAGTCTATAATAAGCGTTTGTTCCGTTATAATGATATCGTTTGTCGCATCCCTAACTTTATATTCTTCAGAATAAGTTCCACATTTTTCAGCTCTTCAATCCCAAGAACAAAGTGGCGGCCTAAAAGGAGAAGGTAGTCAACGCTTCTCGTTCAACTTTCCCGACTGCCTACACCATCTATCTCACTTCTTCCTCATTTACGCGGGCGATATTTGGACTAATGATCATGACATCTTCACAAGGAAGGATGCGTCTAATGACTTTTCTTTGCACCATCCAACCTTTTCGCATCCCTGACTGAGCTTTTGGAACATTTCTTCTTTTCCTGTTCCAATATTCTGCGTCACTATTATCTCATTCCTGACACAAGAGAGAGAGAGAGAGAGAGAGAGAGAGAGAGAGAGAGAGAGAGAGAGATTGCGGTCTGAAACTAGAGCAAGTGGACGATGTCGTCATCCACAATTTTGATGGAAGAATGATGGCAATGTTGGAAGTGTTGCCAAGGAATCGAATCGATCACGGTGGCATGGGAGTTCTTCCAGCATCGTCTCCACCAGTGGTGTGTGTGTGCTTTTTCTTACTAGATGAGCATGATTTTTGCAAGGCGAAATTTCCATTCGGCTTCATGGTTAACTGGTCCAACCCAACTCCTCCTCATCTCAATGGTATTCTCGATGATGAATATTTAGTTGATGTGAATAGAAATATGTTCATTTGATGATGACGTACTCATCTCATTTGGTATTATTCCAAGTACAAAATGAGACCGATTGGTGGGGGAATGAAATATGATTGATTTGTGAGAGAGGAAAAAATTGCATGTAGAAGATATGGAATGAGAAATTTTGCTTTCATATATTCTATGTTGAGGATCTTTTCACGATCAAATTTAATTAATATTTAGATAAAAATATGACTAATTTAATAGTCATATTATGTCTAAATATTAGGTCGAATGCCAAATGGTTAATTAGTTTATCAATTTTGTTTGACATAAATAATTGATCAAAATGTTTAAACTGAAATTAACTTATACACCAATTAGATTTTTATAAATCAATTTTGATCTTATCTATTTTTGATATAAAATTAATTGAGAGTATTATAATATAATTATAACTTTAAGTTTTTTGATCACTCATGTAGATTAAACGAAATTGATGAATCAATTAACCTATCAAACTCGAGTGACATTTGATATCATAGATCTAGTATTTGAATATAACAATGAGGTCTGATAGAAAAGAGCTACATGGATGGAGTCAAAAGACTCGTCACAATGTGAAACTACCATTGTGCTATACCTCATATGTATCGTACTAAGATTTGATCTGAATTATGTTAAACCTGACGTAAAACACTTGAGTGAGAAGGGATATTAACACCCTTGATCCAACATCCAAAATAGGTAAGATTAAATTTTACTTACAAGAATATGATTAAAATTATTATTAATTTCAACCTAAATATTTTAGTTAATAATTTAGATTAAATAAAAATATTTTTTGATTTAATTTAATTAAATTAGTTTTAATTAAATTATAATTAACTTTACCTTCATTCTTATTTATTTTTCTCATCTCCAACCCGAAGCGAATCCCGTGCATACCGTCATTCTTATTTATAGGGCCTCTTCCTCTCACTTGATGCCAGTAGATAGGTACATGAGGAGGGTTGAGTTAACAATGAACCTACTGAAGTTATTAACTCAAATATATAATTAATGCATATCATGAGAAGAATAGACCAATTAAGGTGTTTATTCTATCCAATATTATGTTTTTTTCCCTGAATGAATGTGGATAAGATATATTATAGATCTCGGCCACGTTATGATCCACGTCATGTCACACCCTTGACTTGCCAAGTCAACACGAGGGCTACATTTCTCCCACGTTGAGCCGGAGCCCGTATAAGGAGGTGCCCCCTCGGCAAGTCCCGTCTCAGACATTGATCCATGGATCAAGCCGTACTGATTCTTTAACCACGACACATAGTTCACCGACAAATATAAATATGTCTTTCGTACTATTCAAATATATATATTTTTAACTAAGTAAAAAATAATTTATGGTATATATAAAACTAGGTGATATTAATTAACTAGGCCTAGGCTGAGTATCATATATAATTCATGCATATCATATCATCCGAACAATGGACCAATTAAGGTGTCTCCAAACTCCATAAATATGTCCTTCATACTATTCAAAATAATTAAAAAAATAATAATTTATGGTAATATGTATTAATATATAAAATAATTTATGGTGATATTAATTATTAGGCCTAAGGCTGCATTTGAGAGCTTAGATGTTTGTTAATGGGCCAATTATAGGCTCATAATTTGGGCCTTAGATGAAGTTGAGCGTTTGTTAGGGCCCATTTTGAAGTTGCATTCAGTATTTTCTTTTAGATTTATTAGATGTAATAAATATACGGATGCAATTAGGGGAAAAGAATGTTAATGATGATTCAATTACAGGGATTAATGGTCTCCTAAGGATGTTTTAATGGGGTTGGTTATGCTGCGCACCTGCAGGTTTGCCGTTTCGTAAACGTACGGTCGTTCCCTGTGCTAAAAGATGAGACTGCGTGAGCTGTCCGCGCCGTGGGTTCGCAACAACCAAGTGGATACAGCCAGACGGCCGGCACAGGATATGGCGTGACGACATGCGCAAGCGGTGTGCACACCAAGTCACCGGTTAGTTGAACCCACTCGAGTCCCCCGACCGCCCCACGTGCCCTCCGCGTGACCCGAACGACGACGTCTCCCCCCTCCCCGCTTCTCGAGACCCCCATGGGTGCAGAAACATCCGTCCGAGGACCGACAGGGTTCGGGATTACGGTTCGAAAATGTCGTTTCCCCCGCGTGGGTCCCACGGACGAGGGAGGAACGGCACCCTGGATGGTGATTGGAAGCGTAAGAGGGGATTCCGTATGGGCGGGGGTACCAACTCGATCGTGAGGCGTGAGCCGACCCTCCTCCGTCCCCGCGCTGACCTCGGCGAGCCGATGCGGAGGGGTAGCGTCGTCATTTTATCCTTTCGTTTCTATCTTTTTTGGGTCTCTCCCCGTCATCTAGGCGACGCCGGCTAACGCCGAAATCTTCTCTCTCTCTCTCTCTTTCGGGGGGGACAAAAGAAGAGGGCGAGCGATGCGGCGGAAGGTGGCACCGGATTCGACGGCGATGGTGGCGGGAGGAGGCGGCGGGGGTGCGACGGAGGCGGAGCAGGCGCAGCTGTTCTCGGCGATCAGAAACGGGGAGGACCTGGGACCGTTCGTGCGACGGGCGTTCGCGTCCGGGCGGCCCGAGTCGCTGCTGTCTTCCCTGCGTCAGTTCGCGCGGTCCAAGGAGGCGGAGATCGAGGACGTGTGCAAGGCGCACTACCAGGACTTCATCCGCGCTGTCGACGACCTCCGCTCCCTCCTATCCGACGTCGACTCCCTCAAGTCCGCCCTCGCCGACTCCAACGACGCCCTCCAGTCCGCGGCTGGCCCCCTCCTCGCCGCCCTCGACGCCTACCTCGAGGCCCGCTCCATCGCGGCCAACCTCGCCGCGGCCCTCCGCGCTGCCCGCCTCTGCTCCCGTCTCTTCGCCCTCCTCGCCCGCGCCAACGAGCACCTCGCCGCCGACCACCTCTATCTCGCCCTCCGCGCCGTCGCCGCCGCGGAGCGCGACCTCCTTCCCGCTGCCCCCCACCCCACCATCCGCCGCATGCTCCTCCGCCTCATCCCCGCCGTCCGCGCCCACGCCGAGCGCAAGATCTCCAAGGAGTTCTCCGACTGGATGGTCCAGATCCGCGTCGCCAGCCGCCACCTCGGCCAGATCGCCATCGGCCGCGCGTCAGCCGCCCGCCAGCGCGAGGAGGAGCTCCGTGCCCGTCAGCGCCAGGCCGAGGAGCAGGCCCACTTCCGCTCCGGCTCCACCACCGCCACCCCTACCCTCCGCGATCACTCCTACTCCCTCCGTGTCGAGGAGGACGACGACTGGGCCGGCGACGACGCCGACGACCTCGCTGCGGCCGCTGCCGCTGCCTCCTCCGACGAGGGCGACCCGGGTCTCGATCTCACCCCGCTCTACCGCGCCTACCACATCCACAAGACCCTCGGCCTCGAGGAGCGCTTCCGGCGTTACTACTTCGAGAACCGCAAGCTGCAGCTCACCTCCGACTTCCAGGTCTCCTCCTTGACCCCCTTCCTCGAGTCGCACCAGACCTTCTTCGCTCAGATCGCCGGCTTCTTTATCGTCGAGGATCGAATCCTCCGCACCGGCGGCGGCCTCATCGCCCGTCCCGACGTCGACGCCCTCTGGGAGACCGCTGTCACCAAGATGGTGTCGGTGCTGGAGGACCAGTTCTCCCGGATGCAGACGGCCAACCACCTCCTCCTTATCAAGGACTATGTCAGCCTCCTCGGCGTCACCCTCCACCGCTACCGCTACGCCGTCGACCCTCTTCTCGACGTTCTCTCCAAGCACCGCGACAAGTACCATGACCTCCTCCTCTCCGACTGCCGCCGCCAGGTCTCGGAGGCCCTCGCCGCCGACAAGTTCGAGCAGATGCTCATGAAGAAGGAGTACGAGTACTCCATGAACGTGCTCTCCTTCCAGATCCAGACGTCCGACATCACCCCGGCCTTCCCTTACGTAGCACCCTTCTCTTCCAGCGTCCCAGACCTCTGCCGCATCTCCCGGTCCTTCGTCGAGGACTCGATCAGCTTCATGTCTCATGGCGGGCAGCTCGACATCTACCCCATCGTCAAGAAGTACCTCGAGCGACTCCTCGGGGAGGTCCTCGACGGCTCCATACTGCGACTCATCGAATCCGGGGGTCTTGGTGTCTCCCAGGCAATGCAAGTGGCCGCCAATATGGCCGTCTTGGAGCGGGCGTGTGACTTCTTGTTTCGCCATGCAGCACAGCTCTCAGGCATTCCGCTGCGCATTGCAGAGAAGGGAAAGAGGGAGTTCCCTTTGAAGAAATCTCGCGATGCGACTGTGGAGCTCTTGCTGGGGCTGCTGAGGAAGAAGATCGACGATTTCTTGCTGCTGACGGACAGCATTAGTTGGTTGGCGGATAGCCCACCCCCAAATGGGAATGATTACTCGAACGAGGTGTACATATACCTTGACACATTGGTCTCCACTGCACAGCAGATACTGCCCATCCAAGTCCTGCGGCGGGTGCTTCAGGGTGTCCTCTCCCATATATCTGACAAGATCATGGGGCTTTTCCTCAGCGACGCTGTCAAGAGGTTTAATTCGAATGCAGTAATGGGAATTGATGTTGATCTGAAGACGTTCGAATCATTTGCAGAAAACCAGTCTCACTTGTTTTCTGATTCGGATGATTCGGGTGCAAACGAGTTGAAGCTTGCATTATTAGAGGCAAGGCAGTTGGTCAATCTGCTAATGAGCAACAACCCTGAGAATTTCCTTAATGCGGTGATCAGGGAAAGGAGCTACAACAAGCTCGACTACAAGAAGGTGGTCGCCGTAACGGAGAAGTTCAGGGAATCGTCAGATCGGCTGTTCGGAACTTTTGGTACAAGGGGTGCAAAGCAGAATCCGAAACAGAAATCACTGGATGCCCTAATTAAGAGACTCAAGGATGCTAGCTGAACCAGTTTGCTGGTAGAGTAAAATAAAAGGTTTCTTGTTTGTTCTTTTGCCCGTATTTATTCGTGTGTGTTACATTATGGTTTGCTATTCATTTAATTTCTACTCTGGTAAGTAAAACTATCATATTGCCCTCTAGGTTGACTTTTTTGCGGTGCCATATCATAGATGTATCATGCAGCTTTGGTCTAATCTGTGACTTCAACCTGGATTGGTCGACTACTACATATGTGTTCTACTTGCAATGGGGCTTTTTTATGACTTGGAGGTTCTGGCTGACACTATAGTTGTCTCCTGAGGTGAGTTTCTTGAGATTGTTTTGTTCTCAAGCCAAAAATTATATTGACAGAATTGTTGTGAAACATCTGAGGGTGTAATGTCTTGTTAGAAACCTTCTGCATGAGTAGAATAGGATGTATCATTTTAGCCTTATGTTACACAATCAGTTGCTTGTACATTTCTATGCATAAATTCCAAAACATTTTTTTTCTAATCTTTCATGCAAATACTAGATTCATATATATCAGAATAGAGAGTAGTATCATTTGAGCATTCTGCTTTTCCAGTACATCCTTCAACTTTGAAGGGACAAGTTTGATTGGGTCAGTCATGAAGACTGATTTGGTATGGTCAATAATGGGTGAATCTGCATGGTGTATTAGGATTGAGAGAATGTGGAGGGCACATGATACAAATTCTCTCTTTAGGAAACTAATAGAGATTGAAAATGAGTGAGAATTGCCATAGGAAAAGAATTAAATTCCCTCTTTATATACATGTATATTCCTGCTCAGTGTGGATCTTTCTACATGTGTCTTTATCACTGCTCTGATCATCTTGTCATTTGCTGGATTTTGAAGAACACATGTAATCTCATTCTAGCTTACTTAGTCTACTAGATGGACAACTGCTTGCAGTTCCAATGTGTCATTTGCAAGTCATCTGTTCTGTGTGTGGTTTACTCTTGAGTTATGGAGATTGTTTAGATATGGGGTCTGTCATTATGGGCAGGAATGGTGATTGGTATTTACTGGGAATAGACTTTGTCAACATGGATTCTTCTGCCAATGTCGTCCCGACTAGGTGAGTCGGTATTATAATGCTTACGTTATTACTTTTCCTATCATGTAGTATATAAGATAAGGATATAAAATTTACAAGGATGCACAAAGTTCAATTAAAAACTCTCAAGATGTGAGCTTGATTGGATGTGATCGAACCGAACCAGTTCCAAGCAATTTCGGTTCAAGAATCATCGGCTCGATCCGTATCGGATCGGAACTGTTGAATCATTGACCTAGTTGATTTTTTATCAGTTCAATTTCAATTCGAATCCATGATGAGATTTACTTAGTTCAATTTGGATTTGAATCGAATCATGTTAAGATCTTCTTAGAAAGCTTAGGCACATTGGTTGGTATACACGAACATTATCCTGGTGACATGGAGAAGTAGAAGGGCCCGACTCCGTGGCATGCTTCTGAAGCTGTTCTTAAGTCTTCTCCATGGTGGATGTCTCCTGCAAACATGATTCCAGATGACCAGAAACTGTCGGCTTCTTCATTAGTTTCAAGCGAGCGAGCATGAGAAACTTCTGAATTCGCACAAAACATCATTCTTGGATGTTTGCAATGCAAGCAGTGATAAGATACTCATTGGGACAAAACATCAAACACCTAATGACGAGCGACCAAGTTGCAGCCTTTTGTCGCCGGAGCAAAACAACAAACATCCATCTGCACAAAACTCCGATCCGTATTTATTGTATGACTGATGTAAGGGAAGACTAAGAGAAGAGAGAAGAAGACGATAAAGAGAAATAAGATATCCAAGAAACAAAACGGAACTTTCTTTTTTTTAAGGGATAACGAAGGATTAGTAACTTAAAATATAAAGATTTGATAAGATTTCAAAAATAAGAATGTTTCTTAAATCTTCTCTTTTTTTTCCACTTTTATAATCACTAACATTGAATCCCTCGACTACCTAATTAATAAGTCATAATTTACAATCAAGTATAAATTATAATATATATTAAATTCATGATGCATGTGCTTGTGATTTTGAATTTTTCTCATAATTATCTTAAGAGACAAATCATTTTCTTCAAATTTGATAAAAAAATTGATAAACATTTTTATAATATCTCATTATATATTTTATTCTTATACTTCAAGATAAAAGTATACTTTTGTAAAAATATCGCCCGTTAATATTTGCTTGAGAATTTATATATTTGAGAGTTTCATGATCAGAATTTAAGATATATTCTCTTTGGATCAAATAGGGTCTCCAATACTTGAACAATAGCATAAAATTCAATATCATAAGTTAAATAGTTCTTTCTTGTATTGTTAAGCTTTTCACTGAAGAATGCAAGTAGATGTTCTTCTTGACTAAGAACTCTACCGAAACCTACATGAGATGCATTACAATCAACTTCAAATACTTTTTAAAAATTCGGTAATGTAAGAATAGGGTCAATGGATAATTTCAAGTGGGTATCCTTACTCTACCAACACTCACATGAGAGGCATCGCAGTCAACTTCAAATATTTTTGAAAAATTCGGTAATGTAAAAAGCATGTTCATTGAAACACTCATTTCTTTATGTAATTAGTTAGATGAGTTGCAATAGTACTAAAATTTTAAATAAATCAACAATAAAATGATGTCAACCCATGAAAAACCTGAACATCTTATAGGGATGTTGGTATTGGCAAGTTTAGATAGTTTTAATCTTCTTAGAGTCCACTTGAATAAAGTAAGATGAAGCTTAGAAAAGCTAAGGTAGAGGTTATATAGCAGCATTTATTAAAGTTTATAGATAGCTTTTCTGTCTTTAATGTTGATAGGATAGTTTTTGAATGTTCAATAAATAAGAATATCATCAAAGTAAATAATAAAAAACTTCTTAAGACAAGGACATGGAACTTGATTCAATGAAGGTGATCGAAGTATTTGAAAGTCTAAATAACATAATTAGTCATTCATATAAATCTTTTCGAGTCTTGAAAGTAGTTTTTCATTCATCTTTTAGTTTAATACAGATTTTATGATAACTGCAGATCAATTTAAGAGAAAATTTGAGAATCAACAAGCATATCAAACATATTTCCACACATGAAATAGAAAATTTATACTTGATGGTAATTTAATTGATAGCTCAACTATCGAGGCCCATATATATATAT